GACCTGTGCTATCGATTCGGTGCCGTTTTAACGGTATTTTAAATATTTACATTTCCAATAATTTGTATACACTTCGCAACACAACTCGGGAATATCGTATGTCCTACTAAACTGAAGAGTTAAATATAATTTCAGTTTTGCGGTAAAAATTCTCACCGTTTGTTACAAAAAAATATGTCAATTCGTTCTATTACTTATGTTATTCATATCTGAGACCTTTGTTAAAGTTTAGCCAGGATACTTTGCCCTGATTTTTTTGTCGTAGTGTAACTGAATTCTTGACTAGTTCTAATCATATGCTCTGGTATTTTCTCTAATCACTAGTAGAAAAGCTAATGAAGCCGTTAAAATTCATGGAATCAGGATGTAAAATTATTTATAGGAGTTTATAATTTCAAAAGACGGCGCATACATTTTCTCGAGATAAGTGTGAAATACGATACAGCAATTTTTTTAATTTATAGCAATTAATCTTAATGTTCTACCAGTTCTTTAAACATAAATTAGTTGTAATATACAGAGTGATTCACTTTAAGTACAGAAACTCCAGGAATAGATTATTTGTCAATACATAAGTAGGGAGTACAAGTTTCCAAAAAAAAAATATATATGTTTTCTGTCATATCTTCAATCTTCATATTGCATAAAAATAGGGAACAAAATGAAATAAAACCATTTCTAGAGAAAATGTTGAAATTGATCCCCGTTAGCGCGGATACAGGCATGGCACGGACGCACCCAATTTTGGCGAATATTTTCCCAAATTCCAGGTATTCCCCTAATTGTGTCAGCAGCTTCAAGTATACGGTTTCGCAATTCTTCCTCCGTTGTAATTGGAGTATTGTAAACCAATGACTTCAAGTGACTCCAAAGATAAAAGTCCATTGGAGTTAGATCGGGTGGCCGAGATGGCCACGGCACAGGATCAAAGCGTCCAATCCATCGCTGATTTGATTTAATTCAAAAGTGTCGTTACTTCTCGAGTACTGTGTGGAGGAGCCCCATCTTGAAGATAAAACATGCGTGCCCGAACTTGTAATACCACCTCGTCCAATAATTCAGGCAACCGGTTCTCCAAAAAGTCAGCATATGTTGGTCCATTTAGTCGTCCTTCAAAGAAATAGGGACCCACAAATACATCGCCTATTTTGTCAGCCCAAACATTTACCGAGAACCGATGTTGAAAATGAATTTCCCTAATCGCGTGAGGATTTTCATCGGCCCATATGTGCATATTATGGAAATTCACTTCTTCACGGGTAAATGTCGCCTCATATGTTACCTATACAGGCATAAGCAGGAAAGTCTTGTTTGACACATTGCCGTAAAAAAAAACATCTGCAAAAACGCATTCGTTGATTACAATCTGGGGTTAAAATCTGAAAGATTTTCCAACATTTCATCTTCAACATTAAGGTTCACCTGCTGACCACGTCCTTCTCCTCGAGGAATAACACTTCCCGTATCTCGCAGCCGCTGAATGCAGTGTAGGATTATATTTGCACATGGGGGGGGGGGGTGACGTTGTGGCCATCGTTCCCGGTTAGTGATGTTAAATTACTTGCAATTTATGAAAATGTAATTTCACTGGTAACATTTCATGTAATTTACAAATTAGCTTGTAATTCATGTAATTTATGACATTTAAATTTTGAGACATTTTAAAGTGTATTCAGCTTGTTTAGCTTCTCAGTACTCAGCTTCTATAAAACTAGTCTTGCAATTCAATGATTAAAAAATAATATTTGTCGATTTTTATGCAAAAAATTAAAATTTTTATTCATATAAGTAGGTAGCATTCATATAAGTGCAGCAGTAAAAATAAAATAAATCAAATCTAAATACAAATATTTAGGTTTCTATTTAAAACAGCTTTCGTTTCTTTAAGCATTTGTTTTTCTGGGACATAGGCCTTTTTTGGTAGCATGTATTACAATTAACAGTTTTTAATTCTTCGTCGTTTATTTCTGTTTCCTTTTCTATCTCTTTCGTTCTATCTATTTGTCAGTTCGGTCTTTGCATGGTCAACTAAATTTTAGTCAAAATTATGAACGAAAAATGCAACAACGAAAAACAAACCTTTTGTATAACAATAACACGCCTTTTTTCATTACATTTTGCCTCAAATTCTTCATTTCTTTCAGGTAATAATTACCTTATTCTTATAGCTGTTGACTATATTGACAATTTATTGATGAATTAATTCGTCGCTTCTTCAAGAAATTGGACAAGTGTAATGCACACTTGTCGAATTTCTTGTCTACTGTCAAATAACTTCATGAATTTATTCATCAAGTTCTTGACGAATTGATCTGATTTTCGTCAATTTCTTCGTGAAGTTCAGAAGTACCAACCCAACAGATTTCCTGCCTCAGATCTGTAATGAGGTTATGTTATTGGAATATGTAAATAATTGTGTGGCGTCGTACTAGTTTTGCATTGTTTTTACTGATTTGTTACTTACAAAAACTAATGTTTATATGATATGTGTCAAAACGGTACCGCTGTTGTGTCACTACAATTATGAGTGGAAAGGTGACATTTTTGAAGTTTATTTGTTTCTTTGATTTGTTGGTAGAACTGACTTATGCGTCAAAAAACTTGACAAAGTCTGTAGCAGTGTAAAACCACACTGTTTACCAATAAATTCGTGATTTAATTCATGAAGAATTTCGTTAATTTATTCATGAATAAATTGTCAATGTAAAACAGCTATTAGAGCTTGTATAATCCTGGTCCTCATCCTCATTATTACCATACTCTTCAGAATGAATGCTAATATTGCTAAAATAAAAGAAAGGTTATAAAACCTTAAATGTCAAAATTGAAATTGGCGCGATATTTAAAATTAAGTGTAAATTAACATAACTACAGTAAATTACGTAATTTACGTAAGCCACAAAAATTACATAAATTACATCCGGTATCTCGCGGTAATTTTACAGTAATTTATGTAAGTAACAATTTAAATCATTTTACCATTTACATCACTATTCCCGGTACTACCTAGTCTCCGGCTGCACCATACACTAACACCATATCGACACGTTCGGAAATAGTGAAATAGTAAATGCATTATTTTCTCGGTTCATTGTAAAACTAAGTTTGTGCACAAACTGAAAAATTAAGCAAAGTAAGAAATAAGAATCTCGTGTTTAATGTAATCGGCACGCTATCCTTATTTTTTATTTCTTTATAAAAATTACACTGTCATTATCGTAGAATTACAAAATAAAAACTTTTGTCTGGAATCTTTCACTTTTTTAACACTGATAGGTCGATGGACGATGCTTAATATTTAATAATGAAGTGAAAAATGAATTCAATACAAATCCAAAGTCAGTTGCCTGCACAAATTTTTTGACAATGTACCTAACCTTCTTTTAGTATTACTAGCATTAGATTATACCGACTTAAATTATAAGGTTGCACCTCGGGTCGCATAAAAACATTTCTAAAGTTTTTAATAAAAAACACAGGGTCGGCCTTCATTTTCGTTGAATAAATAAACTTTAATTTACAAAAAAAATGCGAAGAAAGAACTTTTTCTATTACAAATATCATCAGGAAGCTGTAGTTTAATTTTTATAGATTATACACGCCACACCCTGTATAATTGTGTACAACTAAGAAATAGAAATAAAAATAATGCAAATGAATAACCTATACAGAGGGTCAAATTTAAAAAATGACTTAATTAAAAGTAAAACGTTTGAATTATTTTAGTAGGTAGATAAGAGTTTTTTTCATTACATAACGTTGCGACCGTCTCGTGTAATCCCCGACGTGCTTCAATTGTTTAATATAATGCATCGCATTGTCTCAAGAGGCATTATTTATCGGATAATAGAACTACACGTGTTTACAACCCATAAACGTTACTATTCAATTATTGCTTTAAAATTACTACCATTACATGTAATAAAATTTCAAACGTGTTCTTTACTGAAAATTATTCACATTAAATTGCATGTATCAGTAAATATGTCCTCTATTGTGTTTTTTCCTGAATTCAGAATGGAAACTCCAGGGTAATTATTTCCTCCCCTCCCCCCTATACGTCTGTCATACATGTGGTTTGTTTTCCACCATTTGCTTCGGATAATGAGTAATAAATCATTAGGTTTGTGGCAGATAACTGACGTATTACATATTGCCGACAAGAAGTAATATTTTTATTACGGCACCGCAGCAGACGGCGAAAAATTTTATGATGAATGATACCGCGGCAGAACTGGAATAAAGGGATTATTCCCTGGTAAATGAAAAATACATATGAGGGACAAAGAGAAAGATGGAATGATAAAACAGGCACACAAAAAAAAGTCCAAACCCAAGAGACTCACATATCATTTTCGAAGGAATTAGTTGCGCTGAACACGATCCTGTAAGCAAAATTCATGACTTCCCAATGAATGTCGGTAGAAAAGTGAAATTTTTGGGTGAAAACGCCCAAATACAGACTGTTACAAATTCGCTTCTCACTACAGAGATTTCGGAAACGGTAAGAGATACGAACTAGCTTAAATGGGGGCAAAGTTGCATAATCAGGGGACGAAGTTTTCGGAATATTTAAAAAAAAAACGAAATTTTGGAAATCTGTTTTTGTTTCATTTCAGCCTTGTTTGAGATGATAATTGAAAAAAATTAAGAACACTTTCTCATGGCAACTTTTTGTCCATAAATTAACTAAGGAATTCAAAAACGCGATAATATACAGGGTGTTCCATTTAAAATAACAAAGTTATGTAGCGGCTACGCGAAATGGAACACCCCGTAAAGTTAAAAATATTTCCCTTACATGGCCCACATAATTCCAGACACCTTTTACTAAAGCTATTTTTTTATAAATTTTACAGTTGCAGAGTTACAGAAGAATCCTTCTTACGTTGAACACCCTATATATTAATTTTTTGTACATATTTTATTTTTATTAAATACATCATCATCATCAGTTCTATAAAAGCATCTTAAATCGCAATCTGTACGTTCCAATTCAGGTGAAGGTATTTGGAAGATGGCACGAGATTCCTAGACAGCAGGTTGCTTATGGAGACGAAGGCATGAAGTACGCTTTTTCTGGAACCAGTTTGCCCGCGAAACCGTGGACGCCTCTGCTCAACGACGTGAGGAATCTGCTATATGAAGTAACTGGTTTTCGCTACAACTTTGTCTTGATAAATAGGTAAGTGATCTCTTTCAAATTGGGTTCCATCAAATCAAATACCTAAGTACTACTGCTATAATCAAATGTAATTTTCTCATGTTGATCTTAGTTGTTTGTTTGATGACAGCAGAGGTGGCGATGAATACAGAAAAAGTGTTCAATTCATGAATAACTAAACTAATATCTCAAAAAAAGTATATCTGCTTATTAGAATCCTGAATGCTACTTTTAAAGAGTAGGTACACGAATTCAGAAAATTGTATTTCAGTATTCACGTTATACGAATACAATGCTAATACTTCAGAGATTAAAGAATACATGAAACTATTGTTGCATCAAAGGGATTGATGTCTCTGAGGTTAAAGACAAAAACTATTGTATTGTTGTATCGAACTGAAATAAGTATAATAATATGAAATGAGGTGTTTATGAGGTGATATAATTTATACAAAGTAGATACTTAACTGACAAAGAGGTTCCTTCAATTTTTTGATGAATTTATCATTACAATTACAAAAATGTATTGCGAAAATATGACCGAATGTTCATTATGTCATTCAAAAAGTACGCATCACTGAAGACAAAATGTTATTTCCTTTTCTGAAAAATAATAATAATAATAATAATAATAATAATAATAATAATTTCTGCAGTCGCTTGTGCTTGTTTAAAGTGTAAAAACATATGTCTTTTGTGACGTCACATGCTGTCAATAGGTCAATTTGACATTTTTCTTCCCAAAATATCTAAAAAAGTGTACGAAAAGAAAATCGATTTGGAAATTTTCTGTCCACAGTTTAAATATTTTCTTTATTTCAGTGTTTCTCTGTCCATATCCTTGATCGAATCCGATTCGAAATAATATAATAATTATTTACCTGTTAAGCCACCGTAGCTTCTCGTTTAATTTATAGCTATTAGCTGTATTAAATTGTGCTCATGTTCCCATGTTAATTTAAAATCGCCGTTTTCGATTATTAACTATTATGGGTATTTTATTATAGTTTTAATTCGTACCGTTAAATATCCAGGAAGTATCGTTGATTGCAATTGCGTTGTAAACATCTCAAATAATTTGAAAATTAAAACTGATTCTGTTTTAAATTATTTAAGGTTGAACAATTATTTTCTTGACAATTCCGAATATAGGTATATCTTTTTTGTCATCAAAATGTTTTAATGCTTTTAATGAATGCTTTTTTGTAAATTTATTTTTATGTGTTTTATTATTAGCTTTCATATTTTTATTTTACTCTATTTTAAGGCGTTTTATAGACAAGAAATCGCACTTTTGGTAAAACAATGATAGAACAAGAAAATTCAAATTACCTAACTATATAAATGTGGAAATACTAGGGTTCCTTTAATTTTAGATGCATTGAAGAGATATTGTTTCTAACTTCTTTTTTAAAACCCTTGACAAAAGACTGTTATACATGTATCGAAAATTATTAATTTAATATCTTTAAAATGGTTGTTTCAAAGTTTATAAATTAAGTCCCCCTCGGTTGCAGTGTGTAAGTGCAGATATTACAAAAATAAAATTAACGAAGATTTCGTACTTTCGTTGAAGACAGTAATCACTTTTCAAATTAATGTTTTGCATACCTTAAATTTACTATACTTCAGGTGCAACTGTTCAAATTAAATGCCATATGTTCAATGCAAGTAGAAATCTATAAAATTAATCATAGCTAATGTTAATGACATTTGCAGTGGAACATTACTTGATGGAAAATAACGGCTTCCTCAAGTTTTAAATCATGTTCAACTACTTCATTCTGTTTAGTAGAGAATTTTGTTCTGAGAAATATATAAAATATGACATTATCTATCTTTGACTTTGTTGTTGAAATTATTTCAATCGTTTAAGGTCACTTGGAAACTAGAAAATTTAAACTTTATTTAATTTATAAACAATAGTAGTGATATATAGAATTTTTATTGTGAGTAATTTCCCTTTGTTGTCTGACAAAATTTGTTTAATATTCATAAAAACTGTTCCAACCAAATTCTCAAAGTATTGCCTATTTCTTAGTACATTTTTATTAATTTCAATTCGTTAATAAAAATTTTATCTTTCGAAGACATCAATTTGGCTCTATCGTACAAATATTTAATTACACATTCTTCTATATTAATATGATCATTAGAATTAAAATTTAAATATCGGTTACTGTGAGTTCAATTCTTATGAACACCTGATTCTAAAGGATTTGCATTTTTTAAAATTTACTTAATTAGTTTTTTCTCAGTTGCCATAATATCCAATAAATAAAGAAAGGCAAACATTATGCCACAAATATATCAGATAATATAAAAGATATTTATACTTGAAAATGGTTGTGACATAACATAGCCGATGTTATTCGCTAATTGTAAGCTACGATTCTGTTTAAATTAATGATAAAAATCGCTGCTGTTTATAGAAAACGCCTTCTCATAAGAATGGAATGGAATATAAAGTATTTTCCATCAATTTCATGAAACAGATTTGTTCTTCAACTTGAAAATTTAAGCAAACAACGTTAACGTCTTTTATTTTATTTTTTAAAATTGTATTAGATCGATAAATGTAAGATTCAAATTATATTTTATTTATCTTATAATCTAAACATATACAGGGTGTCCAGAAGCAATGGGCCATACTTTAAGAGTATGTAGCTTCCCCAATTGAAAATAAATCGATTTAGATCAAGTTACCTTAGTACAATGTGACTTTTATAAAAGTTATACGGGCCTTTACTAAAAAATTTTTGTTTCATTTATTCAAGATAGGTAATTCACTTTTTAAAATATTTTAGTGAAACAGGGTACAGAGTAGTTTTTAAGATATGAATATAGCTAAACTTAGTTTTAATCTAAAACGTAAAGATTGCTAGTAATAGATAAGTATCTATAGTCTACCGCTATTGTTCGGGCAATGTCACTATTGCCAACATTGAAAATGGGGCTAACTGAGAGCATCAGTTGGTCAATATAGGGACTAAATTACAGGAAAGTCCCTAGATGGACTATGTACCACCATTAGAAAAGGATCTGTCTAATTGTTGACATTGCCTACAGTTTTAGGAAAGTTAGAAGTTAGGCCATCCGCGGCCAGAGGGCAGCGCTATCAACGCCGTCACGTCTAAGCAGTGATGCCAACCTGGGGGTTTTCCCCCCAAGTTTAGGGGAAAGAATTTGAAAAAGGGGATTTTTTGAGGGAAAAATATTTTTAGGATTTGGTTTAGGGTATTTTCTAGGGAGAAAATGATTTCATTCAGAATTTTTTTCGTCTAATTCATGTCAAATCGAAGCTTCTATGGAAGTCTTTGTTTCCAACTAACTCAACGAGCTAGACAGTAGCGTCACAAAAAGTAGCATGTCGCCCTCTATAATTCGAACTTAATAGTGTAATTTTAATAATAGCTGAATAATGAAAATAAACAACTGATTTTTGAGAAATTTTCTGATAGAATTTAAAATCTGCGTAAAAAATATACAGGTAAGTTAATTTATTAGATTTCAATACAATGAGAAATATTTAATTATATTTTTCATATAATTAATTAATTATATGGCAATAGAATATGACAAACTAAAACTTTATAAATCGATTTGAAAATTTCATATTCGAAGTTAGTGTATTTCAGTTTGAATTTAGGGGATTTTAAAATGGGTTTGGGGGAAAAAATTTCGACTGGTTGGCATCACTTCTAGGAAAGATTGCTTTAAAAAGATGCAAACAATTACCTAAACTGTTATAATAGGGTAATAAAGGTACTACATCTAATAAATAATAATAATAAATGCGTAATTTGTTAGATCTGAGGGTGTCGATCGCAATGCCCCCTGGATCGTGACGGTCTATAGACCAACGTCAAAATTTGTGGGCAAAAGTCAACTCGTACCAACTCAAACGTCAAGTTTTATACTATATTAACACCATGGTAACAATATATTGTAGATAAACAAACAATGAAAGTCAAAAACCTGTAATTTTTACATTCATGTATGGTATGAATCGTGTTCAATAAGACAATTTAAAAATGTTAAAACGCAAACATAACCTTAAATATTGTGTCAAGTTGGAAGTTCGAAGAAACGTTATGTGTTACCTGTTATGCATAATAAAATGTTAGATGTTTAGGTTGAAATAGCTCTTGATTATTAGCAAAATGACAGAAAGTTACATTTTCATACAAGTATGCCTTGATATATGATAGTATTGCTCTCAGTTGACGTCATCACATGCTCGTAGAAACCCCATACTATTTTCACACTACGGACCACTACATTTTTTAAATTAATTTGTTATTGTTTTATTTAGACATATTGTATGTGCATTAATCCATAGGTTACATTTCGAAATTGAGGTTATGTAATAATTTTCCCTCCTATTTATTCCTTTCCTTCTACCCCCAAACAACCTGCCCATACAAAATTTCATGGAAATATCTAAAAGAGCAGAAGTGTTATCTTACAAAATGTAACAAAACAGTTTTTTTATTCCATAAGTAAATTGTACGAAAATGTAATTTAATCTGAATCGGTTTGGCCCAGTCGCTTCCGAACACTCAGTATGATCAACCTGTTTTTATAAACCCGTCCTGAAAACGTGTTCTAATCCAGATACAGGAACGGAAAAGACCACATAGGGGAGCACAGAGATGATGAAAAGGAGCTGGACAAAAACACACCTATAGCATCGGTGTCGCTGGGGCAAAAAAGGGCTTTTGTTGTAAAGCACGGCGACGCTCGAAAAAAGGGCCCTGCCAGGAGAGATATCCAGACCGGTAGGGAGCTAATATCTGGAAAAGTGGAGTTGAAACTCTACCGCTACTTTTTGCTTGTTTCAGTCAAACTCGAGCTCGAACACGGCAGTCTCTTACTTATGAATCCGCCCACTAATGAGTATTGGTATCATTCCGTCCCTCCCAGGAAACTCGAGAATGGAGTTAGGATTAATTTAACGTTCCGAAAGATCAATAAGAAATAGAGGTTTTATTCGAACAAAGTTTGATAGAAATCCGATTACTTTAGAACTTAAAATAGGTCACCAAATTATTCAAACAAATTTTAAAATGGTGTTCGTGAAAATAAGATAACTTGCACTTTATTAGTTGAAATAAATACATCACAAATTGGTTTCCACAAATGTTTGACATAATTGTTTTGTAGATATATTTTTTATAATCAAATTACAATATTATTATTATTCCACTACGAAGTTCTTCTTAAAATTAAAAAAGTCTAACAATTTGAATGATTCAATCTTCTAACATTTTGTTATATTGTTAATTCCTGACATCTATGAGGTAGTAGACAAAGTTAAAACCAATTTTAAGTTCACTGAATATCGAAATAGATGGTTACTGACTACTGTGGTAATTCTTGAATGAATCACAAAAAAAATAAACCCAAGAATAATATTAATAATCTTGTAAGTATTATATTAATTTTGTTTAAAGCGAAAATCCTTTATTTTGAATCTTATAACATGTTAAACTTATAGTATTTCGTTAACTGCTGCCATCTCTGAGTACAAAGTTAAATTAAATTCTAAAGTCTGAACATCCATGTAGAGGAAATCTATTTTTTATACCAACCATAAGAAAATAAAACAAAACCTAAAATAAAAAATTGGTGTAATTGTGAGGTTAAGTACTTAATGTTCATGTTTATATCTTTTGCCGGTTAATGTTAATCAACTGAAATGGCAAACAAACTAAACAAAGCATTTTATAACACCGTATTGTCTCAAACATTTAGCCCATGTGGAAACTACCTTATTACAGGTGATATTTACGACGTTGTTTCTGTTTTTCAGTAAGTGTTAAACTTCTTTTACTGATTTATCTCACAAACTTCATTTCCAGTTTATCAAAAATTGTACATCCAGAAAACAATTTAAGCAAAGAGGAACTCACACCTAAAAATAGATTTACAGTTAAAGATGGTTTACCAATAAACAGTTTGCTGACGACACAGTCACACTTAATCGTTGGAGGTGTCGGAGAAATTTTCGCTTATCAGTGGAAGAGCGTGAAGACTAGCAAAAATGTGCAACCTGTTTGGTCGATAGATATTCCAGGTCAGAAAGGAATTTTTGATAAGACGGATGTGAACTGTTTGTTGTACAATGAAGACACTGGACATGTTTACGCAGGCTGTGGAGATAATAATATCTACGTTTTTGAAATTGAAAGTAGGAAACTTCTGAAAACTCTCAGTAAACATAAAGATTTCATACATTGTCTCACAATAAAGTAAGTGGAATGTGTAATATTAAAATGGCAACATTTGAAATACTAAGTATTGTTGTAGCGGAAACGATATAATCTCGGGTGGTGAAGATGGTTTAGTTAATATTTGGGATTTACGAACGTATAAAGTTTCTAACAAAATAGAGCCTCATTTAAATGACAAAGTTGTTCGTGCAGAGATAGGTCATTGGATTGGAGCAGTGAGTTCTAATGAAGATTATGTGGTACGTATATATTAAAAAATAAGGCCTAACAAAGCTTCTCATGATTCAAGTGCTGATTGTACATCTTTTTAGTTGTGTGGGGGTGGACCTCGTTTGTCGTTATGGCATTGCCGCTTCTTATCAAACTCTACGATATTTCCAATCGATGACAAAGGTATACATGTGGCGGAGATATTCAATGACAAAATTTTAGCTGGTGGTAGATCTAGGCTTTTTTATCAGATGACCTTCATTGGTGATATAATTTCGAAAATACCAACTTCTGCGGTTACAACTTATAGTGCCATTCACCAGGAAGAACCATTTCAATTGTTAAGTATTGCGGGGTCGAGCCCTAAGATTGACATTTGTAATAATTTTATGTACAAAAATCAGCAACTGTCTTTGTATTAGTTTGATAAAAATTAGTTTCATGTATAAAATATATGTAATTTTGTCACATATTGTTACGAGTGTTATTCGAGTGTATGTGTAACAGTTTGTTAGTGTTCATGGTAAACGAATAATTAATATTGGTGACGCTAAGATTTAGGGATTTTTAGTGGACAGTGCAATGTTGGTTGCCTAAGCTTGGCGGTCATGTGGCTTGTAATTATTTATGAAAACTCTGTATATTGCTGAAAAGTAAATTCAGATATATGGAGTCCATCTGTCTCTATTTTATATTTGATGATTGCCTGTCACTAAATTATTTTAAAGCCGCATTCAGACAGTTGCGAATTGCGAAGTATTACTCTAATAGGTTGATTTATGTAAAAGTGTTCGCTTTTCATTTGAATCAGCCAATTAGAACAATATTCACAATTCGTAAACTCACTACTACAGTAGAACCTTGCTAATCCGACCTCGGATGGTCTGTCTCCTTACATAGTCCGACCATCCCATTTCTGTTTGTTTACCTACTTTACCTAAATGGGCTGCTGCTAGAGTCTTAACATGACTGATCAGTAGGCAGTTGATCGTTGATAGATGCAGTACATAATGATAAGTTTTAGTACGAAATAACTTGTTTCTGACTCGAAAATGTTTTTATTGTGCATGCATTTATTTTATAAAATACAGTACTGTATTGTGATGTTACGGGTCAATAAAAGTGTTCCATGCTCCTGGTCCCGTAGGGCATGAAATAACAAGGATCTACTGTACATATACCGTGCGCAGCAAAAGTATGGAATATATTTATTTAAAAATCAGATGTTCGTTATTTGAAAAATCGCTCGGACTTGTCGAATTATATTTTTGTTGCACATTTTCTGAAGCAATCTTCATTTATACAGGGTGGCCCAAAAAAAAGTTATGAAATCAAGGCCAATTTATTTAAATGGAAAACCCACTTTTTTATATTCAAATTTTTGGAGAATTTTTTAAGTTTTTTGTTCTTTATAAAAAAACATGAAACGGTGCTAAAAATTTGCAAAATAACCTAGCTTGTAATTTAAATAGTGACATTTAACAAAATCATATTTTATACAATAAAATTACGTGTTTTTAATTAAATTATACCTAAATACCTCATTTATATTTTTTACATTCAAGTCATTGCATCCTAATGATTAAAGTAAATCACTGAACCACTTATTTCTTATGGATTTTTCTGATTTCAAGCAACTTTCTGTGAACCACACAAATCTAAGATGGAAAAGTAAACGTGGTTTTATTTTAAAACTAGCAGGTTAAATCCCCGGATAATTTTTGAAAATTTTCCATATTCTATATTCACACGCCATTATCTCGAAAACGGTTAAAGATAGGTACAGGTTATGTTTCATAAAAAATTATCAGAATTCCAAGGAGAATTGAATAAAAATACAAAAAAGTGGAGTTTCCATTTAAAAACAGTTAGCTTTGATTTTATAACTTCTTTGGGCCACCCTGTATAAATGAAAATTGATTGATGAAACGACAATGACGAAATATTCTGAACATTGGAAAGAAAATTCTCATGAAATTTCAGTTCTTAATTTTAATTTTGAGTACTCGCTATTTCAGCGGTCCTCAAACTTTTGCGACTTGCAGAACCCGGCCAACATTTTAATTTTTTTGAGGAACTCCCAAATTATATATTTATAAATAATAGGATTAATAAAATAAATATTTCACAAAGTAAAATTGAAACAAAGACTAAAGTTTAAAGTAAATGTTTATTGGATAATTAAAAAAGAGCAAATATAATCAATAACTGGGATGTACTTGAATATTTTTACAAAATATGTTGAAATCAGGTGCTATTGTCATAAGTTGCACCGCTATTCAAATTCTGCACTAAGAGCATTGGCTGAGTGGTGGAACCCCCAGAGAGGTTGTGCGCAACCTCAGGGTTCCGCGGAACACAGTTTGAATACCGCTGCGCTGTTTGATTTAAAAAATTTCCCATTCATTTAACACGTAAAACTACTTTCTTTTTTTTTTATTTATCTATATCCCAGCTGCATTTTAAAATTAAAGAGTGAGTATTTAAAATTAAAATTAAGAGCTGAAATTCGGTGAGAATTTTTTTTATAATGTTTAGAACATTTCGTCAATGGAGTGGAAAAATAAATTATGATTTTAGAAAAAAAAGTAATTTTTGCTTGTTTAATCCTGAAATAAAAGTAACTTAGATGGTATTGGTTGATTAAGAAAAAATTACGTTTTTTAATCAACCAAAATTTAAAACGTTACGTAAAAAAAAGGGGATTATGGGCCAAATTTATATTTATTAATTTATTTTGACTGGATACAGGGTGTCCCGAAATTCATGCCACAAAATTTGGTCAGAGATTCTTAAGACAAATTTAGGGGACCCGTATTTTTTATTTTTGCCAAGTGGCCCCCTCTTTCGGAGTTACAGCCCCCTGAAGTCCGCCCCTAAGAATTATCTTTTTTTTTTATATCTCAGAACCCTGTTGTACGAAAATGACTAAATTTGGTACACAGGGGTTTTATGACATGTGAAATCTGATGGTGCTTCGTTTTTTGACGGGGAGCCCTCTAAAGACAATTTTTCGTGGGCCCCCTTGTCTTTATAGCCAAAAAAATTTAGTCGCATATTTAAATTTCTTAGAAATTATCAGTCCACAAGAAAGTCATTAAATTCAGAAACTTTTTGTCACTTTATACTTTTTTCGTAAAACGCAAAGTTTTCAAGAAAAATGTCAAAATGTGATCGAATGCATATCGTGATTCGCCATTTTCCTCAAAAACATTGCGTTTTCGAAACAAATATCAGGAGACAAAAAAGTTTCTAAATTCAATGGCTTTCTAGCTAACTAATAATTTTTCAAAAAATCAAATTTGCGACTAAATTTTTCTGGTTCCAAAGGCAAGGGGGCCCACGAAAAAGTGTCTTAAGGCGGTTTCTCGCCAAAAAGGGTAGCACTGTGATATTCCACATGTCATAAAACCCCTGTGTATCAAATTTAGTGATTCTTGTACAACATGGTTTTGAGATATAAAAAAGGTGCAGATTTCAGGGGGATGTAACTCCGAAAGAGGGGGCCAGTTGACAAAAAGAAAAAATACGGGTCCCCTAAATTTGTCTTAAGAATCTGTGACCAAATTTTGTTGCATGAATTTCGGGACACCCTGTATACATCTGCATCCAAATAAAGTTACTCATGAAAAATAAAAAATAATAAATAATTATTTTTTAATTGTGGCGTGGTGGTTTTATTTTTAACTTAGATTTCTTGCAAATTATTTTACCTAATGTTTTTCCATAATAGTTTTTAATAATTTGCCAGGTGAAATAAATAATTGCTGATATTCAAGAAAATTTGCAAATTCAACATCCTGTATCTCGAAAAAGCAACATTAGTAAGAAAAACATAATATGAACCACTCCCACTGTTTTTTCAGTTTTTTTGTTTTTTTTTTTTGAGGTATAAACGGGGCACCCTGTATTTCATTATAACATTTAAAATACCCCATCAAACATATTCAGGGTATTTGAATAGGCATGATATGTTTCTTTTAATTTGTACACCCTGTGTCTTAAAAATTAAGCATTACCCGACCCATGTTCAAAAATATTATATTTAATATCTCTGAAGATGTATGATAGAGAGATGAAACTTGCATTAATAAAACAGCCCCACAAAAAAAAAAGTGGCAGGTCCAAAAGACAAAACCATGGTATCCATATGGTTTTGGGGTCGCTGAATCCGAATCCGGTGTCCGTTTGACACGATTAGCTCTGGTTTAAGGTCGGTTCAAGGTCAAATGTAGAAAACCAATTGTCAACAAACTAAACCTATGTACCTATATGTTTTTGGGGTCGCCGAATCCGAATCCGGTGTCCATTTGACGTGATTAGCTCTGGTTTTAGGTCAGTTCAAGGTCAAATGTAGAAAATCAATTGTCAACAAACTAAACCTACGTATCTATATGTTTTTCGAGTCGCCGAATCCGAATCCGGTGTTCGTTTGATTCGATCAGATCCGGTTTAAGTTCAGTTGTTCGTATTTGATCCTATGTAAGACTATCCTCAAAATATGGCTCTTATCATTTTAAGAACTTGTCACTAGGCAAATGGTGTATATGTGCCCCCCTTTTTTCGAAATCTCATTGTCTGCCATCCTTTTATAAATTTTCTTTGTAAATTTTATTTTAAATTTTTTCAAAATGAATGTTCTCTATTGTGCCCACCAAATCACATACATTTTCTTTTCAAAAAATTTATTCAAATAAATACTATTTACAAAAACCACATACATATTTACAAGAAACCATGCCCAGCAATGGCAGCCGGTATAAACCCCTCCACACCTTCCTTGTTTTTAACGTAAAACCATCCCTCCACTTGGGAATCCAACAAGAACACAACCTCCCCCTTCTTCACGGAGATCTCGTTGTCTCCGCTGCCCTTAAAGTCACTCACTATCACCAATAATGTCTGCCTCACGCCCCTACTTTTAGCGATGGCAGCCGCTCGTAGGTAAAGTCTGTCAACGCTTCTCTCCCCACAAGTGCTGGTGGCGTTCCGGGATCGGTTACGACACCTTCCTCCGCCGCCGCAGTCCGATTGGGAACTTAACTTCTCTGTGTCCGTCATGTTGCCCGAAGGTTTGGGGAAGACGTCGGAACTCTTTTCCCAGCACGGGGCCGGTTTGTCGTCCTCTGGAGGTGGCAATATGCCTAAAAAGTATAATAAATATATTTTTGCATGATAATATAAATATAGCTCTTGGAAGTACCTATAACATTCGATAACTTTATCGAGCCGTAACTTTTTTGGTAGCAATTCAGAACTTAATATGCAGGGTTCGTAACGGCCTGGAAAACCGGGAATAGTCAGGGAATTATTCTTCATAACAAGCAAGGAATAGTCGGGGAATTTAAAAGTATTCATTAAAGTCAAGAAATTTGATGTTTGCAACTAGAAATTTTGTGAAAACCAGCCTTGGGTTCTTGAAAGAGAAAACTATTTGTGGATGGAGTGTGAACTTCCCCTTAGGATTTCCAATATGTTTTTTGTTTTTTTTTTCATATCTTGTTACATGTTCTTTGGTTTGGAAATAAAGACATTATTATTATTATTATTATTATTATTATTATTATTATTATTTGAAACCTTTATAAGAGGTTCTTTGGGTATAAAAAAGATTATGGAGTCTAGTCTAGAAAAAGTTTAATGGAGAAACAGCAATTACCATGTAAAAATGAAGTACAAGTGATGTTGATTTTCTTTATACGTCAAGGAAAACCTGGTAAAGTCAGGGAATTCTATATTACTTTTGAACTATGAACCCCAATATGATATTCCCTCCTATTGTAATGATTTTGATCTTTAAAAGTTATCGTTGCATATACAGCACATATTATGTGGTACTCTCTAAGAGCTACATAAAAAAAAATACAGTAAAACAAAGAAAAAAATTCTTCTGATACCTTCTAGGCGTCTTCTTAATATCAACTTTTGAACAATGGTAAGTTTGGTTAAATTATAATATTTTCAAATCAGGAATTCCCTGGTTTTCCTTATTTACGGTCACTGTGTATTTATTATTTTCTGTATATTTTTTAATATGTATTATACAATCTAAAGCATGCCAGTAAATATTGTTATTATTTTATTGCTTCATTGCAAATTTTAATGTTTACTAAAAACATTTGTCAATTATAATATGCATTGTGATGTTACAGACGGCAAATGCAAAGTTAAAAAAGAAAACAAAGTCTGGAATTTTTTGATTTTTTTGAATTATATTAATATTATGTTTTATTGGGGCCATTAAAATACCTACTAAATTTTTATATATTTTATTCAATTTTGTGCAGTAATTAGAGAGGATTATAGAATCAGTCAAATCGATAAAACACCCTGTATCTCAAAAACAATTAATGTTGAAATATTTTAGGGGGTATTTGCCGAAGTTATTGTGTAAAAAAGTTTATATAAACGTAGATCGAAATATGCTTTGTTTCCGAGATACAGATTGTTTAAATTTTAATTTTTTATTTATTTATATTAATTATTTTAGAGTTTATAATATTAAACAAAAAACTAAGTAAATATTTGAGTTTTTCCCAGTTTCCCGAATTTCGTCAAATTGCCATGTTATTGAACAAAAAATATAATCAAAATACCAAACAAAAATTTTTTTGGACGTTCTGTATCTAAAGAACCAAGCCATTGCAGAACCATGTTTATTTGAACTTTTTATCTTAAAATTAGACAAAGATTCATCCTTTAAAGTTTGTACAAGTACTTAATAAACATCCTGTATAGTTGAGGAGATGTGCTAAATTCAAGGCATCTCCATTAGAGAAAATAAAAGAATAATTCTAAATAATTACAAAAAAATTGTATATTGTTTAAATGGTAATTCAGAACTCTTATATGTCCAACGTACACCAGTTGAGAACTTCAAACCTCTCCGTCGATATACGCCTACTCACCAATAGAGGGCGCCATGTTAATGTTCATTTGAAATTATATGCTTTTTAAATATTTTTGTAAAAACTATACTAACCTAAAGGAAGACACGCCGCATAACTAACGTATCCTTCTTCTGCGTGAGGTGTTTGGACGTACAACCAACGTTTGTTCTTAAAAACCGCGTTTACAACCATCCCAAGAGGTAGAGATATTTCTGCTTGATATCCTCCAATTCTCGTCTGATAAAGCACACTAGGAAACGCCAGTACCACGGGAATATTGGCTGGTTTTTCCATCGTTGCCTGAAATAAAGCATGAATTTTACCTGTCACTTACTATAATAAATATATGATGGGTGGAACATTACGAAAGGCAAGTTCGGTATTAACATCTAGAATTCTAGATCATCTAGACCTAGAGTCTAGAGTTCTAGAGTCTAGACATATCTCTTTGTCTTTTCACTTTTTGCAATTAGAAAATGATAAAATACCTCCAGAGCATCTAGAATCTCGATGTTAATACCGAACTTGTCTAAAAGTAGAATATTATTTGGTTCTGGCTACTGTCCTGTATGTCCTATATGACATTGATTACTACATCTGCAGTTACTGCATACACAGGGTGTCGGGGAAATGAGTACAAAAAATTTGTAGGGTGATTCCTATAACATCACGCAATATCTTTAAAATGTTTTTAAGTTACTGAAAAAAAATGTTTACAATATTTTAAAAGTTACTATATTATCGCAAAATATTTAATTTTCATTGATAAAGTAATCTAAAAATATAGTAAAATGGTTTTGGCACAAACATAATTTAGGACGTGGGTTAATAAGTACATTACAGGGGCCTCAACAATGTTTTAAAAACATTTGTAAAACTTTTAAAAAATGTTTCAAAATGTTATATACAGGATATTCCACGGTGACGAGACATTAGACATATTTAAGAAATTAGGTACTTCGATTTTAATTTTGAAAATTTGGACAATAGTGTTTTTGGTTATACCGGAAGTTGACGTCATCTTCGTTTTTTTAAATGGAACACCCTGTATATTTTTGCAATTTTAGATTCTACGTCAATTTTTAGGTGAACTTTCATAAAGTTTTCCTATTTTTAAAGTAAACCGTTTTTGATATATGTATTTATTTTTCTTCAAAAAACATTAAAAAAGCACTGCCTAATTCAAAAAGATGTGTATTTTACAATAATAAAGTTAGAGCGATAAAATTTATAGGGGACATATTATCTAAAACTCTAAGGCCCAGTACTTTGGGTCTCCATTAAGACTTGATTAACTAATCAGGCAATTATACTGTGAATATACTAATAATAATAATAATATATACTAATAATAATAATAA